ATTGATAGTCCCACTGACTAGCAAAGTGCAAGTTTTTGCTGTGGTTAGGATAATTAGAAAATGAATGTCAGTGATGCTCGTTTCAAAATTCTGAAACTTCGTAATCAAACTTCCAAATAACTGAAACTTGAAAGACAATGAATTAATGGCAATAATGATGTAACATATAAATAAGCATCAGTACTCAAATAGAGAAACACGTATCATATCCTTGTATCATCAAAAGGATGGGAGCTCAGTAAGACCCACTAAGCAAAAGTTCTTGTTAGGAGAGTTTCTGATAAATGATGGAAAAGTAAAAGTTTTGGACAGACAAAAGGCTGAAATGTTAAATGCCAATGAGAAATGAGGACTGATGGTCTCAAGTACAATATATTCACTACCTTCTTTGGACAAAAACATATGTATCCCTGTCTCTATCATCACCCCGGGATGAAATCTCACTTGCAGCTTGCAATAAGGAATATGCAGAAGCCTGAAAATTAATGAAACTCCATAAATTCTAAATGATGTTTGCAACTAAATAAAGCAAAGAATGGACAAGTTAAAACCTTGGCTTGTGAATTAGCACAAATGGTTCACAATCCATTCCCAGCAGCAGAAGAAAAAAACAAGCAAAATAGATAAATAAATAATAGTGTTAATGTTCTATTGCAGTCCACCTAATCAAACATATAGAATTTACGTGAGAGAAATTTCAAAACAACCTGAAAACATGTTAAGAAACAAGTCTACCAAAGAGAAGCAATGGCTCTTAAAACAAGGTTTTAGTAGCAAAAGTGCCTACAATTTACTCATTGGGCAATGGATAAGCTTTTAATGGTTATTTGGTCAAACTGAAAATCATGAAAGAATAACGTAGATTTTCTTTAAGTTTTTTTTCCCCCTAACAAAACAAAATCAAATATAACCAAACAAATAACACTTTGTTTTTCCAAATCTTAGAAGAATAGTAGCCTAGTTAAACAAAGCAAAATAGTGACGATCAGATCATCAACCATATTATACAGAAAATATCAAACCAAGAACATAATTGAAATAAGAGATATAGTACAGTGGTTGTTACTTTCCACTAGTTAATACAATCAAATAATATAAACAATGTGGTCTCAAATCCTAGCATAAAGACTCAAAAACATCAAAGACAAACAGTAACAGGTTAAACAATTAACAGAAGAAATATGAATAACAGATTCTTACAATTTCCGACCCACATACAAATCAATGGCATAATAGAACAGGCACGAGACAATGAGGTAAGGTTTGTCGTCTATAAACGAGAACATGAAAATCATGGGAGTGCATCTTCTCACAAGAAATACACATCAACAAATACAGCCAAATGGCAATGCTTTTTCCAAAAAAAAAAAACTACTAAGGAAGTCACAAAGTGATGTCAAACACTCAAAACTTTTTCAATTACAACTTATGGATTTCTTAAGACAAACATATAACAAAATGTGTTGCATTGTGGAGATGAAATGCAAACTTGTATGCCGCAATCAGTATATAATATATAGTAACTATATGAAACACTGCATGCTTGTCTTTGAAGCACCAAAACCTAATGTATTGTTAAACAATAAGTTTCAAAAGTTTGTAGAAAAACCTGATAAGAAAGTGCTTTTATCCATGCATTCCGATCTACACCCAGCCAAGCTGTTGATAGCCAAGGCAAGTTTGACAATGAGCCCTGCTCTTTAATAGCCAGCTCGAAAACTCTGGCTGCGTCATGTAAAGATTGAACAAGTCCATCACAGTAATCATTGCCTTGCAGTGATTGATTTAGTTTGACCCTCAATTCTTCAACATTGGTACTGGTACTTGCTTGGGGACTCCCATTGACAGTTACACCATCATCTGAAGAAGCAAGGAGCAAGAAATGTCCCATTCTTCTTGATTTACAATAGTTCGCAAAAATTTTCCTACAACCCACCAAGTGGTGATTAAGACTATAATTTCCTTTCTCTAACATAGCAAGTCTCAGAAGGTTTCTCTTCCTTGCATTGCCACAGTTACTCAATAGGTAATCCAACCCAGCCCCTCTTCTACAGGAAATACGTGTTCTGATCGAATTTCGTGACAGCCATGGATTTGACGAACTGCAAATACAAATATCAAGATTAAGCTATGATTAAAGGTTGTCTCAGCCGTAGGATTTAAGCAAACAATGCTTGTCTTTTAAGACTACTTCAATGGGCTTTTAAAGCTTGCATCAAAACATCTTATTTCTTTCTTTATTCCCTTTATTAGGTTTCCCTAATCCATTCTATAACTATATAAGCAATTAGTCAATGGATTTGTTCATAACGTCCCTCCCATGACCTTGTTTTCAACAAACTAGGACCAAAAAATAAGACCTTTTTCTTTCTATTATAACCGAAACAACATGCTTGCAGGTAACACATAAGATGATCAATGGAGAAGCAATCTGTAATACCTAATTAAATCACAACATTAAAATAACAGCCACTATAATAAGCATACTCCTGTTTGGTTAGTGAGAAATTCACGGAAAAGTAACTAACAGCTGTTAGATCCCATTTTTCAAACACATTTTCAGCATTACAATTCAAAAAAATAAAATAAAAACATAGAAAACGTTTTTAGTATCGTAGCCAACAAATATCATTTAGAAAACACTAAATTCACACTAATATGTTCCAATGTTTTTGAAAAAAAAAAAAAAGAAAAGAAAAGAATAATTTAAAAAAAAAAAAAAAAGACAAAGCTATTCCTTTACCCCTCCAAATTATTAGTAACAGTCAATCTTTATTAGCTCTAAATCTTCAAAACATAAAATTCATTTCAAATTTCAATTAAAAACTGTAATTCAAAATTAATTTATAAAACGATACATAATAACAGCACTAATTAATTCAAAAATCAAAGACTGAGAGCTTAATTAAAAACCGAAATTAAGAAAAAATAATTAGGAAGTGAGAGTACCTAGAAGAGACGAAAGAATGTTGATGTAACTTAACGGCCATGTAACAGAGAGAAAATCAGCAGGAGAGTAGATGTTTGGTAAGCGGGAAAATGGAGAGGAAAGTTGAGGAGAGTGAGGGAGAACAAAGAAAGAAAGGGTGACGTGGCAGAGAGAGTTTTATCCAAATACGTGGTAAAACAAATGATCACATAACAGATATGGCCTGTCTCTCTGAGAGTTAGGAGGAGTCGTCGAGATTTTGTGTGATACGGTGTGCAATGTGTATGGTCTTCAGTTCTACTTATGGCTGTTGTTGCTGATAGAGTCACCAGCTGGTGACATTTGTAGGCCACATAATCGTTCCACCTTAGAAATAGTATGTGTTGGTACTTGGTAGACCTATCAGTCGGCCCAATAAAAATATGGGCCTGGGCCGATCACGACACCACGGCCCAACTTGGGTTTTAACGGATTTAGAATTTTTATTTTATAATTAGAAAATTTAAAGAAAATTCTCAAATTATTAAATCAAGAGAATAACACATGGCACTATTCCACTGGGTCATTTATATAGGTAAGACTGTCCCATGTGAATATTTCTGTTAAATTAATATTGTAATTTTTGTAGAAAATATATATATTTTAATAAGTTAATCCTACGTTCTGTGATAAAATAACAAAAATCTCCTTAAGGTTTTGAAAATAACAAAAATTTATTATTATTCAGGTTTAAGTATTAAAATAAACCATAAAAAAGTAATTTGATAATATTTACAAACTTACAATAACTTAAATTTTAATAATTTATTAATTCCTCCATTTCAAAATGAAAGTCGTTTTAATCTTATTATTTTTTTTCAAAATAAATGACGTTTACCAAAAAGTTACGCAATCCTCTCTCTCTTTCTAAAGGAATTGCCCTGTCTCCTCTCTTTTGCTTTTTCTCTGACCCTCATCTCCTCTTGCACTTTTTCTTTCTCTCCAAAATAAATGATGATGCTGGATAATCTAAGTGATTAACGCATTGGAGGAGAGAGAAATTCGTTTACATTCAAAAAATTAGTTTATTAAAAACTATGCAATTGCTTAAAACCACTTTTATTTAGAAAGAAAGAGTAACAATTTAGTTATTATTTTAAAAATCTTAGGAAGGTTTTTGTTATTCTACCATATCTCAAAAGGTATCTATGTCTTTAATCCAACTTAATTTGATAAATTCAGAACGTATAAATAGCGTTTTCTAACATTAAACAACAAAAGAATTCTATGTATTCATTAAAATTGGATTAAATAATAAAATTTTTACTACCATCAAATTTTAATTAATAAAAATAAACTAAGTTTCATTATTTTGAAAATCTTAGAAAAAATTATTGTATGGTTGCGTTTGGATCAAGGCCATATAAGATAATAGAGGTAATTTTCATTTATTTTCCGATGTTTAGTTTGCAAGTAATAAAATATTATGGAAATCTTTTATTGTAAATAGTGTTTATTATTAATAATGTGAGGGCAATTCGATACCATCCCCCAACCCTTGAGATTAAAACATTATTAGGATAATATAATTTTTATATCTATTTTACCTTTAATTAAATATCATTTCGGATACAATTGCCTTCAAATGTCTACCAAATAACAATTATTAGCTCCTTTACATTTGAGAAATTAGCTAAAACACCACAGCTACAAAAAAGTTTAAAAATTAACAAAATATCACCAACCACCTAAGACCACTGTCACCCGTTACTCACCACTGTCGCCCGCGACGTCAGTCGCCGTAATGGTTCGCGGCTAGTGGGTCTGGTCGGTCGTGTGCCGATAAGGCCTTTTCCAATAGATCCATGGGCAAAAACGACCAGATCTAACCATTTCTATAGCGTTTCATAGTTAAAGATATGACCGTGAAATGACCATGAAATAACAATGAATTTTTTATCCATGGTCGAAAATGGCTTTGTCGGAGTACATTCGACCATATGCGACCAATCATGTGCCATTTTGTCTACTATCGACGGTAGCTTGGGGTGAATGACGATTATTTTGTTATAAATTAAAGTTTTATATGATTCAAAAAATAATAATAAAATATTATATTATATTAGTGTTTATGTAAACTCTCTCCACCGTCCTCTCAGCGAGTTCTTAGTAAAATCAGAATCTCACATGGCGGCGCTTAGGAAGATTGTTAATTCCTCTACTGCTATTACAAACCCTTCCCTTATTCCTGCATCGCTTTTCATATCTTGCAGAGCTATTGCCTCCAAGCTCTTTGTTGGAGGTTCTTTTTCTCTCTTCAATTTCATCCACTTTCATTTCAATTTTCAATTTATATTTTTGTTACCTTAACTTCAATCTGTCAATTCACTTATTTTAAATATTTGCTTCAACTTTAATATTATTGCCTTGTGCGTTTCTTTCATTTTTGTTCTTTATGTGTTCGACCAATTGCCTAAATAACCTCATTTTTTAGTATGCTTATTGAAAGCTCTTTTGTGCTTGCAGGTCTATCATTTGCCACTTCAGATGAGGGATTATCAGAAACATTTTCTCAATATGGTCAAGTTATTGAAGGTTTAATCACTACTCCTTTCTGCCATGTTAAATGTTTAATTACCTTTGTCCAACTTAGTCATCCTATTCAATACAATTTTATTCATAGCGGGTAATTTTTGCTGTAGTTACTCATATTCAATATAATACTGTTCATATAATATTATTCATGTGGGTAATTTCCTTTTTAGAGTTAATAGGCAATAGTAAACAGTAATCTAGATTTATGAAAAATATAAATGCTGGCTACTAAGAATTTTCTTTGGTTTATGTTTGTAAATTATCAGAAAAAAAAATTATTTATTTACCTTGTCTGAAATTTGATCTAATTAAAGGTTTCCTTGAGCTGAAAAACCAAAAAAAATTTTTTTATGTAAAACTGAAATGGGTGGAAGTCTTTAGGAGAATTTCTTGAAAATTATAAATTGGGAAGTTTTCATGGAAGTATGCAACGAGGTTAAACAAATTAATGGAATGTCGCGATTGTATGCATTGAAAAAGAATTTTAACATTTCGTTTTTGGGGTTTTCTTCCTTTGGCAGCCAAAGTTGTGATGGACAAAGTTTCAGATAGATCAAAAGGGTTTGGATTTGTGACATTTGCATCCGAAGAAGAAGCCAAGAAAGCCCTCACTGAGTTGAATGGACAGGTAAGAATAATTGAAGATCCTTCTCTTACTACAAAAATGCTATGCATTTTGAGTTATCTAATTAATTTGATGAGTTTAACATCATTTGCAGACAATTAATGGACGTGTTATATTTGTGGACTATGCAAAACCTGAAGCCAAAGCCAGATTCGATAGTGGCGGAATACCCATAGCAAGAGGACCTCCAGAACAATTGTCTGATAGAGTCAAAGTCGATTTCTTCAATCAAGAAGACAATTAATAATACCTAAACATCACATCATATAGAGTAAAACATGCATCAGAATTCTAGAATCGTAAAATTCCCATCATCCAGGTATGTTTTTGATAATGCCATAGATCAGTAATTTTTGTGGGTGTTTTATAGATAGTGTGAACCTTATTATATCTTTGCAATTTTTGGTTGGACAATTTGTAAAAATTGCAAGATTTGCGCTGAATTAGTTGATTTTTGAAGTTTGCCATGTCTGGAGAGCTACCCTTACTTCTTGGTTCTCGCTTTTCTCTTTGATTATTTTATTGAAACTTATTTTAGTCAGTTAATCCATTTTATTTGTAAATATACAGATTATATTCTTTTTGGATGATTACTTGTGATTGCCATATGCAAAATGCTAGTAAAGATCAAGTCCATACTTTTAAATCACTAGAACTTGCAATTTGATATTTTCCAATTTGCGTGAATTAATATTTTTTTTATTATTAGAAAAAAATATTGCATTTAAATTGTTTGTTACTAAAACATGATAGTGAGGTGAACTTATTTTCTTTTCTAATTGATGCTTTGTTTATAACTTCAAAAGAAAATAAAAAATCAATATTGAGAAAGTAAATGAAGAAGAACAAAATTAAGTAATGATAAAAGAAATAAAGTTACAAAACAATGGTTGACTAAATTCATTTATAAGTTTGAGCATCTGATATTTAATTTGTAAATATAATGCTATTAATTAGGGTCTTGGTTCATGGGGAGCCTAAGGCTATTGCCTCATTTGTCTTCTGCCCCTTTTGTTGACAGCGGCATTATCCTCTATCATCATTTCCATTGTGTTCCTATTTTTCATAGACAGGAAAACTCAATATCTTAGAATGAAAACATATAAAATAAGAATAAAAGTTAAAATCATAAAGTAACAATATGAAAATAGAGGGAGAAAGATAAGTTTTTTATGAAGAGTAAATTAAATGTATAAGAAAGTTCAAAGGTTTGAGAATTAAAATCAATATCTCATTGTAGTATGTTGATACCTTTTGCTTTTCAACTTCTATGGATGCAGCAAGTAGGTTTTGACATGAGTAAGAATCATCCGTAAGTTCTTTCCGAATGGCATTTTCAACTTCAATTTCTTCAATTTCATAAAGGAGAAAGTTGATGTTCTAGTTTACCAGGAGCCTTAAAGAGAATTATACAAACATTGAAAAATCAACACCTCGATTGTGCCATGGTTTAGTGTGACAGATTGTGCCATGGTTTAGTGTGACAGATTGTGCCTGACAGAGGATTAGGAACAGATTGATCAATCCATTTGCATGAGTTTCACTATCTGTGTTTGACTTCATAACTCTTTATCTGGTATATGAATTTCAACATCTACATTTCTTATAGCAGGAGGCTTAACTAATGCGAAACACCAGCAAGAATTAAGCCACTGCAAAGTCCGAGTATTCATAAAACTGAAAGAAGCGAGCATTGGTGCGAGAACCTCAATCCTACCATGATATGGAATCGTCAAAAAAATTGATACAATCAACTCAACAAAGTCAAGGCCCAGAGATCCTAAAATTCTCAACTCCGCCGTATAAACACGAATGTAGATGCAAACTCTTCAAATTCGGGCAGTTTGAGAGAGGATCATGTGGTTCTAATGGTTTTTTGTATCAAGGAAAAAAAAAAAACATTTATGGACATGCAAATGCGTCAGCCACAAGAACTGAAACTTCCGCTCTGTTAAGATTTCCGGGTCATCACAGGCAATGAATTTTTTTTCTGGTGATAAACGAAAGAATACCGAGTTGCCTCGAAAGTTCAGTTTTTTAACATTGTGTGAGATGAGATAGTCGGTGAATTGGTTCATGAAGGGATGATCAAAATTGTCAGAGTTAGAACAAGTAAAAGTGAATTGATCGATGTTAACTCGGTTACGACGTGAAGAACGAAGGACTTGAAATGTGAGGGAATATGAAAATTCGTAAGGTCAAATGTGAGGTGAGGGAGAGTTTTCCATTGGTCTCTAAATCTCTTAGAAAGCACACAAGTTTGAACCGCGAATTCAATGTCGTTAAAGGAAAGAATGAAGTATTTCATCTGGTAAGTAGCTTAATCGATCTCTCAATTTCTTGGCTCTTGTGTAACCCCTCATCATGTAGCATTTCACCACATGATGATCATCTTTCTTCGTCTTCGCCATGGTAGTTCACTTTTTAACTGCAATTTTAGGATATTTGATCAATTTTATATAAAGTCATTTTCATGTTGACAGAAAATAAAAGGCGTTTGAGAACAATTTTCATGCCTTCAAAAATAATATCTAATGAAAGAAACCCCAGATCAAGCCTCCACAGCGTATTGCGGAATTCACGCAATTTTCTCTTGGGGTTTTTTTTTTTTTCCCTCTTTCTTTTTATTGCAAACACTATCATGAAAATATTATGTGGGTAGAATCCTAAAAGATTTGTAATTCCTTTTATTTAAATAATGTAACATTTTATTGTTGGACTAAAACTCTCTATATATTTTAATTTTTCCTAATTTAATTAGGAAATTATGAAACTTTTTTCCCGGTTGCAATAATATCTATCTACACATTATAATTTACCCGGAAGATTAGAGATTTATAGTGAGACTTCATATCCTTCTTGTAAGTTAGTAGGTAATTACTGTAACAAAAAATAATATGGATACTTTATATTGTGTTAAGATCTTATTATTTAAATTTTTTGAATAATAAATCCTTTCAATTTTGTATTCTACATTTTGTTTGCTAAATGAATCCATAAATATTTAACATTTTATTTACTATATTATTTCATATTCCATTTGATTATTAATGATTTATAATACCTCACTTAAAATACATAGTATCATTTAATTTAAAATATTTGGTGCATAAAATTATTTTTGGTGCCATGTACACTCTCAATTATGTTCGATCGATCCACTTTTTTTATCACTTAATTTAGTTTATTTCGATGGCGTAAAACTCCAATTAATTCGTCATGGGAAGACTATAAGGCAAATTGTTAATCGAACAAACCATACTGAAAAGTAAAGGGGATGGAAGAATATTGCAGATTTTACTTGATCTGTATTGTGAAAGGAAGCTGCAAAATGAAGGGTAAACATATGATTATAATAAGTCCTTACCCTTCATAATCATTGTATTAAAATAAACACACGAGAACAAATTACATAATTTGAAAAAAAATAAAAGAGTAAAAAATACAATTTGCATGATCAAAGATAGAATTCTAGATATAATGAACAGTGAATACCCAAACTAAAGTGGCGTCCGAGAGGCTAACTGTTGACAAACAAATTGCATGGTTGGTCTCGATTCAGGATTGGGATCTAAAGCAAGAAGGATATGAGTTTGTCCTTGGACATCAAGTGAGGGAATTGCAAGTTGTGGATCCAACATTTCCCTTAGAACTAAATTCACATTGGAAGATAATGGTGGAAATGAGGACAGAAAATCTCTTGGATAATTCCCCTTGATTGTTTTCAGTGCTAACACTCCAAAGCTAGAGACATCATATTTTTTTAGAAATGTTCATTGTGTAAGCAAGCTCGGTGAATATAAGATAAAAATGACTGTGAATCATCCAAATTTTTTAAATTAGCTAATAATAGAAGTTGAATATGAAAGAATCACATACTTAGTACAACATATCCATATGTTTCGACAAGTTCAGACCAGTTGGATGAGTCTTGCTTGAAAAATTTGGCAGTTCCAAAGTTCAAAACAAGAGCTTCAGTTTGTGATATTCCAAATTCAACAACACATTCTTGCTAAATATGTCTTGATGTACAATTGGCAGGAAGCGATGGTGGTGCAAGCAAGACAAGGCATGAGCTATGCCTTCTTTAATAGTTGCTCTTTTCTTCCAACCCAAGGCGTTTACTTCTACTTCAATGTTTAAGATTACAGCCAAACTGCCATTTTCAAGGTATTCGTAAATTAAAACAAGCGTCGACCATGTGAATAGAAACCACAAAATTTTACAATATTTCAATGTTGTATCTCTGCCAATACCCTTATTTCATTTACGAACTCTTTTTAATATCCTGTCTCTCCAATAAGTAGTGAGTGAAATTTCTTAACCGCTAAAATGTCACTCGATGGTAGTTATGCCCTATAAAAAGTTCCATATCCACAACTACCAATACAATATCTAAGATCGAAATCATTTGTAGCTTATGATTTCTTCTTACACAAGTTTTCCTTGAAAATTTAATATTGTAAGTAATCCACGAGTGCCCAATCTACTCTGGTGTCTTTGTAAGTTCTTTTTCCTTTGACAAATGAAGAATTTTCCAATTAACACAATCGAAAGTACATGTCCTTCTAAAAGAGGGAACACAATTGGCCAAATTTTTCCTATCGCATGTTTGTGGGACTTAAAAAGCCTTGCAAGATGGGAGTCTCATATGGCATCACCACACAATCCTTCATTCTCTTGCAATGCTTCAACCAGAGCATTTCAAAATGCTTTACTATTAGGAATCGAATCCTACAACTCATTATGAGATATGTCACTGCTTGACAAACCATTCATTCCTTCAAAACAACTTGGAATTAAACCAGAAAGCTTATTGCGAGATTGATTTAACTTCTCCAAACTATTCAAATCATAAATTTCAAATGGTATCTCTCCTCTGAACAAGTTTTAACTCAAATCTAGCTCTGACAATTGACCTAACTTCCCCAATTCAATCAAAATTTCTTGGTTAAGTTGATTGTTAGCCAAATTCAAGTAATACAATTTTAACAAGTGGCCAAGGCTTTTTGGGATTGACTTTCTCAATCTATTTGTGGACAAGTCAAGGTACCCGAGTTTGGTGAATAAACCAAATTCTAGAGGTATACCACCAGAAAGTTGATTCCTCTTCAAAATCACCTTGATTGGACAAGCAACTTTCCAAGTTCCATTAGAATCTCCCCAACTAAATTATTTGAAGAAAGATGAAGTAGTTGTAACCAAGTTGAGTTTCCAATCTTGGAGGGTATGCTCCCACATCTAAGTAAGTCACATTGGGGTGGATGCCGAAATCTTCTGAGAAATTTCCACTCGGTTTTGTTTAAGGCGGACCCTGACTCCAGTTTCTCAAGCTTTTGGGGATTTGACCTAGAAAATGGTTGCTGAACACACTTAATTTCTCAAGGAGTAATGCTATAGTTACCGACGGGTGTGCACCGAATGACGTGACTAAATCCTGACCGTTGATTTATTATCAATTAATATTAATCAATGGTCAGGATTTTGTCACGTCATTCGGTGCACAAATTCGGTGTAAACTTTTCGGTAACTCTATCACTTTCCTTTCTCAAGTAATCCATTTTGACAAATATTATAAGGCAAATACCCGGTGAAGTGGTTTTTTTCCACTAGAAGTACTTCAGTCAGCTTCATTAAATTTTCGATTT